AACTTCCCAGTCAAATCTAATGTCCTGAACTTCCCAAATTGTCTCCATTACATTACAGGTGGTCCTCAGTTAACAACCGCTCATTCAGCAACCGTTCGAACTTATGAAGGTACTGAATGAGCGGTACTTACGACCAGTTCTCAAAGTTCCGGCCATCACAGTGCCTCCGCGATCACATGATTGTGATCTGGGTGCTTGGCAACCGGCCTGCATTTCCAACTGTTGCAGCATCCCACGGTCACATGATTGCCATTTGTGACCTTCACTACTGGCTTCCCACAAGCAAAGTCAATGGGGAAGCCACCAGGAAGTTGTGGTTGTGTGAAGTCCTTCGCTTAACAGTAACAAGGGACTGCCAGAACCACTGTTGCTAAGCAGTGCAGTCACGTGACATTGTGCATTACAACCATGTTGCTTAGTGATAGAAATTCCAATCCCAATCACCATCATTAAGCGAGCACTATCTGTATTAAGCAGGGCTAATCCTACATTGCCTGCTGGATCAGCCAAGGTTGGCTAGGACTGCCACCTCAAATCATGATGATTATATGGACACATCCATGAAGTTTTCTTGGCATAAGTTCAGAAATGATTTGTCAATGCATTCTACCTGCAGATGTTTTGTTACCAGGATAGGTAACAGCATCAGTGGATGGAAGAGTGAAGTTTGTTGCTTGTTAACTATCAAGAAAGAAACCATACCCTAATTAAGGAACATCAAGGAAGACTGACACCACACCCCAAGCAAGCCTGGCCAGGCATATATAACCAGCAAACTCTACTGTCTGCTGCACTGATGATGTTCTCTAGCCTGGGAAAGAAACATCTCCAGGAAAACAACAAAGCTCAGAGAACACCAAGAACACAATAAAGGGATGACTATCAGCTGCATTATGTACACACAGCTGTTTGCGGATAAAGGAAGTGACTGAAAGTGATATTCAAAGTGTCTCTTTGACCATATTTCTCAAACCAGCAAATTGCCCTGCTAAAACAGGCCTTGTCACCAGCCTATTCGCCTCAAAGCAAATTTGCTTCCCCTTTGCATCCAAATATGGCCTAACTCAAAAACGAGGTAGATATTACCTCTTGAAACCAAAACCAGCTAGACTTCACTCCCTCGCCACAAAGGGGAAAAGAAACTCCACAAGCTGGGAGAAAGGCTGATTTGTTAACAACCTGAAAACAGATTAAAAGGGAAGTGGTGCAGATACAAGACAAACCTCATGTAACTGGGATATACCTGGTTAAATGCAGTATGTCTGATCTTGACTTTTTCCTCTCCACCATCATCTCTTGCTGCTGTTGTGGTGACTGATCTTTTAACGTTAAATGTGAATGGGCAGCCTGAGAAATTCTTTAAATAAAAAGGAACCTACATATGGAAAGATAACCCAGAATGCCAACAGTAACACTCAGGGTGCCTTGCTTGATTTCCCAGCATTCGTACAAAGAGGCAATCGTGTGCAGCCCTCTAAATCTCATCTACTGTGATAGATTCAATGACTAGGTTCATGCATTATATTACGCCGTAATTTAATTTGGCACAATGTCTGAACTTGATGAAAGATGGTTAAGACCAACCATGACTTAGTTCAATGTATAAACCAGGCGATACAAGGCTTAACTAGCTACACTTCAACAGCTGCACAGAGAAAACGATTAAAATGTCTACTGTTATTTTGGAATCCTTGAGAATAACAACACTGCACAAAGACATCCAATTGGTTCAATCAAAGCTTCATAAACAGAAACCAGAACAGTTTTTGAAAAGCAGAATGGGAACATTCAGTACTTTCCGGGGGGGGGGGGGGTTGTCAAGAGTTCATCATGATATTGTTGGTCAAAACTATATACTTGACAGCAGACCATGACTGGGATCATGGGTCTTGGCCAAACAAGTGCAAAGTAATTTCCAGTAGCCGCGTTCTGGGTAGGATACAGGGAGAAAGCTGAAGCTATTATTCTTTCACTGTCTTTTCCTTCTCTCCCGCTAAAAATGTCATTCCATTTTCATTCTGTTTCTGGATTCCCAGGGTTATATTCTCAAAAAAGTTAGAAGCATGGTTGCTCTAAATTGAAGGCAAAAATGCTCTCTGAAATGAAATGAAATGCCAAGAAGTGTGCTTCTGGGGGCTCATGACTGTAGGCACTGTAGGAGTCATGCTAGTCTAGCGTAGCCAAAATTCAGGAGACTGGTAGCACTTTTTCTGACTAATAAATTTTATTAAAAGGCATCAACTTCCATGTGATACAACTCCCTTCCTCAGATGCACGGAGTGGTTAGATTGATGTTGGATTTAAACAACATCAGTTACCAATGTCAGTGTCAGACTGAGTGAGACATTGTTGAACCCACATACATCAAAAGGCTTCCTGCTATCTCAAAAGTTCTTAACAAATACAATGGATTTTTAACACATTACAATTGTTAATGGATAAGGTACTCTGTCTCATGTAACCTGCATTTACATAACCAGTCTTCCCCTCCCTCCCTCCCTCTCCCCCCCTCTTCTCATTGTAAATCCTTTATCAGTCTACCCTTTCCATGCATCTGAGCCACAGCTCACAAAAGCTTTTGCCTTTAATAATATTTTTTAGTTGGGAGTGGTTCTATCAGATTCCTGATTTTGGGGGGAGGGGGCTCATGAGTAAATTTATGTGCACTGATTTTATATGCGAGGCAACACATGAGCCTGGAATTTTTAGGCAGGACTAACATTCTGTACCTTTAATGCGGGTGTCGTGCTACACACTCACCCTCCACCTGTTACAGGTTCTAGCCAGAGAGAATTCCCTGAAAGTGCTGTTGCCCAAAGACTACAAAGAAATATAATCTGGATTAAACAGCCCACTTTTAACTGTCTATAAACTGATGATTCAACAAAAGCCCTAGCCTTGCTTCATTACATCCATGCTTTTCACAGCATTTATCCAATGTTTAAATGATAGCATAACTTGTTTAATTCCGGCCTGGAATCCCCAATGCGGTTCCCACAGTGCCCTTCTTCACCCAGAAGCAACCTTCATGTCCATCTGGATCTCTGCCCCACCTGAATTTTTATTTTTAGATTGTTTTTCTTTTGAAAATTGTGGGGATGGGGGCTGCAACAAGGCGTTCTACCTGGAAGCATGCCTACTGGCCCAGAAAAAAATGACAAAATCAAACTGAGATGGAGCTGAAGGCATCCTGGGAGGGTGGCAGTGTGGTGGAGAATATTCCTGTGAGTTTGAAAGAGGTAACAATTTACTTGAAGTGAACTTAATCCCCAATGATTACATCCTTGTACTCTTCCTAAGGGCAGTCAGGAAGCTGTTTCCCATTGCTTCTTTCTAGATGTTTTTTCAACATCCCAATCTAACCAACAGCTTGGGTGGATTCTCAGGTGAACCTCCACCCAACAGGGTTGAACCTGTTTGCCATCTGGGTGTGACCTGTCTCCCCCACTACAACAACCATCTTGTAAGTAACATGTTTTCCAAATTCCCAATACATCCAATGGCCCAAAAATGTTGGCAAAACCATGTTTAGAAGAACACACAGAAAATATTATCACTTCATGGTCCCTTAATTGGGCATATCTTAGAGATAAACAAGCAAAAGACCAAATCATTTAGAAGAAAGCAAATGTAGTTAAACATGGTAGATTGCTTAGTCAGTCTTTATGCATGTCACCTTAATACTCTGATTCTTCTACCCTTGCTTTGTACAATTAATTAATAGCACAAATAATCTGGTATTCATTTTTAAAGCTAATAATGCATTTAGTTTTTCCTGCCCTACAACTTTAACCATCATGTTTTACTGGTTGGTTAAACCATTAATGCTTCAAATAGTAGAAAAAACAAAAGCTTTCTTCTAGGTTCTGCAAATAAGCACCAGCCATAATTTATACATTCCATGGAGACTGCATCAGCAACCACAGTCTTTTTCTTTTAACTTTTAAACTCTAACTATCTAGTATATATTTTTGGACTGGTTTTTTTTTCAGCCATCGCTACTGCTCTGTTATGGATGGTATCTTTGGGGCAGTAGAAATACATTTCCTTCCCTGAGATTTTGAATCTGGGGTAACCTGCAGATTTAAACAAAATAAGGACTGCCTCATCTTTCAATTGACAAAAAGGAGCAGAAAAACAGAATGATATATATGGATTTTTTAAAAAATAGTATCCTTTAATAATGTGACTGAAAACTAAATACTGATTTATACCAATATTTATGCACGTTCATCTGTCTTATTCTAATTAATAGTACTTGCAATCTTGCATGTTTCAAGTTTTTTGTATGGAAGGAGTCTGGTAGTACCTTTTTTTATTCTAATAAATTTTATTAAAAGCTATACGTTTGTGAGCTTCAGATCACTTCATCAGATGTGAGTGAGAAGTGAGCTATAGTTCACAAAAGCTTATGCCTTTTAATAAAATTTATTAGCCTCAAAAGATGCTACCAGACTGCTCCTGATTTTTGGCTGCCACAGACTCACATGGCTCTCCTCCTACAATGTCTATGTAGGGATAATCTCTTTTTAAAAAACTAACCAATATAACCATTATGCAGTCTTTTTGATTACAAACTCTTCTTCAGCATAATATACTAACTCCCACATGAGATATTTACTTTATAATACCAGGTCACTGATTGGTTTTTAGCTTCCTCACTAGGATCAGACCACTGCAATGCAAACCTATCAGTCAGGAATGATTGTGTCAATACTTGTTAAATAAGTAATAGTTATTTGTCTTTGCAATCTGGTGTTCTGTGCGCTTTTGCTCAGAACTTTAAGATGCTTCCCTTTCTTTGTTTAAAGAAGCAGTTTTGGCAACAGATGATACCTAGAAAAAATTCTGACCCTTTGTTTCTATCATCGCCCACAAAGCATGCTGCAGATTCTCAACCAGATGCATTAAAGAATCAAAGTCATGCATTCTCTTTCTGCCTTATCATCTGCCTATGAGCTATTTGCAAACCCTGAAAAAGATAAAGAACTTTCACTTACGGAAACAAATCTGTCCTTACGAAACAAGGCAAAACAGATCCTGGAATGAAGTCTTCGCAGATATGAAAGCAAGATTCTCCTAAGGGCAGAACAAAAGGGAATCATGGTCTATTAGATTTCTGATCACTCCAAACGTTTGTCACAGCACTAAACTATTTTGTGCTAAGCAAATACAGCAATTTGGGCTAGCACTATCAACGTATGCAAAGGAAGAGGAACTGGGATTCCACTGCTAGTATTAAAAACCTATACACTCAAAGGTAACACTCATAAACCCACAAAGTAATTTTATGATGAAATTTAGAATGCAGTGAAGCTTCATGTGTTGTTACATGCCACTGTGGAAGGTAATGTGAACAGAGCCAGAGACATGGACAGCCCCTGCTGGGTTTTCAAAATAAATATGGGATGAAATGACAATGGGTTAAATAATTAGTCAAATTACTAACATATTTTTCGACCCATAAGGAAAGCTAAAAAGGAACAATACTAGGAAAAGATTAATATACAAATCAGGGAAATTAATGGACAAATAGAAGGGTTCTCACTAACAGACGCTGTTTAATGCATTGATAGCAATGTAGAATGAAAGGAAGCAGCATTCAGCTGACTGCATAATATTTTTGTTAGAGTCAAATACTCTGCCTTCATCTCCATAAATTGCATTTTGCCCAATGAGAAGTTTATGCTTGTAAATCTACTTTTCTTAACACGATCATGGAGTTTAAAAGGCCCTGTGGTTACCAGAACTCAGATATCATTATTTATTTGTTCATTTAGTACTTTTTGGATTTAGTACAGGACCAGTTACAACATTTGCGAAGAGAGGACTCTTTGGAAAAGACCCTGATGCTGGGAAAGATGGAAGGCAAAAGGAGAAGAGGACGGCAGAGGAT